AGAGGGACCCATACTTGATTGCTATTTGACCTTGGCTGGGGCTGGCCCACTTGGAGCCTCTATAAAAACATGGGGTCGGAGAGGTTGCTTTCTAAGTTCACTGCTTACAAGGCCATTTCCAGAGCCTGGGGCCCAGCATAGAAGCAAATGTCATGCAGTGGGCAGTTAAGTGGCCTGATCCTGCTGGTCATGAGGCACCCAGAGAAAAAACAAGTTTGCATGTAACAGTGCAATCCCCCCAGCCGATGACTTCCTCTTGTAGTGCGAGAAAAAATGGCCCTTCCAGGACTGGAGAGCCGACCAACGCCAGCCTTCCTCGGGAATTATCAAAGGCATTTGGGCTAGCTATTCAGTTAGTGTGGTGACTTGAAAACTTATTGGGAACCCAGGGCGAGGGCCCTGCCCTCCCAGGAGGCTTTGTGCTCGCTGGGGAGATTGGTCTGTGCCCAGTGGGTCACAGTCCCTCAAAAGGGAGCTGGTGGAAGAGCCGGGAAAAAGACCAGCAGCCCCTGGGCTCCGACCTGCTTCCACACCCAGAGCCCCATGCCAGTTTCCTCACTGCGGGTTTTTATGGGATTTGAGTGAGGGCACGGGCAGGGGTTCTCCACCAACGACCATGCCAGGGACAGCCCCCAAGACTGGCCTCTGAAGCAGAGTCAGAATCTCTGGGCTGGCCTTCTTTACTCCTGACCTTGCCAGCTGGCCCTCAAATCTCACCTGAGAAAAAGAAAGATGGCTCTTGGGGTGTTGGCCCTGTCATCACTGGGGGCTTGGCGCTCCAGATGTGACCCCAGGGCCTCCAGCAGTCCCGGATGCAGCTTCTCGGCCTCGTCGAAGAGGAACAGGGTCTGGCGGCAGCGCTGCTGCGTCTCCCGGATCTGCCTGGCCAGCTGCTCCTGCACAGGACACGGGTGATAGCTGCCGGGAGCCCTGGAGCCCTCCAAGGGGTTCCCCCAGCACTCCAGCAGGTTCGAACTGGTTTGGTCATGGCCTACATGGGCAACAGACCCGCACTGAAAATTCCAGGGACAATTCCAAGTTGAAGGCCTGGAATGGGAGGCTCGGGGGTGTGGTGAGATTGAATCACTGCCAGGACCGTGCAGTGGGACACACATTCACAGGGAGCCGGTGAGGGCCTCGTTTCTAGGAGGGAGGCTGGGTTGGCTGCGGGGGTGCCCTTGCTGGTTATGGAGCTCATACACGTTTTACACACTCGGGGCCTTTCTGATTGGGTTTGGCTTCATAGGTCATGGCTGAGTCAGGGAGGGACTGGAGCCAAGCGAGGTTCCCCAGGGCCCTGCAGAGGGACCCTCTGGGCTGGATTCCCCCCTAGAATAAGGTGACAGATTTAAAGCAGGACACCATTGGGCGGGGGGTGGGGTTTCTTGCTTAAAAATTTGGTCTATATGGACCAAATAGACCATTCCCTAGCTTGCCGTGCATTCTTTCCAAAAATCGGGACTTTTTTAAAACGCCCAAAAGCGGGACATCTGGTCACCTTGCCCTAGAATCACCAAATCCAGACCTCTAGGGGGAGGGGCCAGGTGTTGGGCCTGGTAACAAGCATCCCAGAGGACAAT